AATGCCAGCCTCAGCTCCTACACCAGGGAGCTGACATGCAAGGGGCTGAGATCCCCAAAACAGCTGTTGGTTACCTCTGGCAGGAAGGGCCCCTTTAGGTGACAGACACATGGACTCTAGAGAAAAAGACTTGCAGCTAACAAGGGGCCCACCCCAGAGCCTCCATATAGCTCCCAAGCCCAGAGGCCAAAGTTCTTCCCAGAGGGCTCTAGAGTCTCACTTTAGACCAAGCCACGCCAGCCTTCTCATGGGGTTTCACAGTCATTCCATTAGCTTCCCGCCCTAACCCCCAAGGGTCAACAGAACAACAGAGATCAGCAAATACCGTCCAAACCTGAACCGAGACTAAAGAACACTAAGGAAAGTAAAAAAGAGCTGAAAGGCCAAGGACAAGCTGAGAAAGGAGCGTTGCCTCCAGCTGTGAGAGCTACACCCCTATCCCATGAAATGGACCAGACAGGCCAATCCTGCCTCAGACCCCAGGGTTAGGTGTCCAGTCCTGGCTCCCCACACTTTGGCCAGACCCAGCTCCACATCCAGAGGCAGACCCCAGGCCTTGTACACCAGCTTCCAGGTTCATCAATTCAAAGGCCCTGGTGCTAAAGTCCTTGCAGTTGATGCCACAGCCACCAATCCAATCCCAGTCCCCACTCCAGAGAGGTCAAATGCTGTTTCCTGGGGCCTCAGTCCACATGACCAGGCAGCACCAGATCCAAAAAGAGCCCTAGAGGCTCATCCTCTCTCAGTCACCCCACACCTGCCAGGTGGCATACTGACCTAGAGAGGCTTTGGGTGAGGTGCCAAGCAGGTCCATGTTGGGGCCGTGCTCCGGCTCTGTGGATGCAATGGTGGGAATTAGGTCTAAGGCACAAGCTTGCTTCCCTTAACGGGAAGTGATGGGACAAAAATGGGAAAGACTGGCTTTCCTCAGCTTGCTGAGGCCACCAAAAGATGAAAGGGATCCTCCAAGGGATTGAAATGAATCCTAGCCCACTGAGAAATACAGGAACCCCCACACATACACATACTTTTATCCCCTTGGCCAGGTGTCCCATTCTTAGCTCCAAGTCCTTTGCCAAGACTAGGGCACTTGGTTGGAATCCAGACTGAACTCACGTGCCAGGCTACTGATCTCTGTAGAAGGGGCTAGCTCCTGGGTCTCTGCTAGGTCAGGGGCTGGTTCTTTCCAGGCAGGGGGCTGAAAAAGAGGCCAGATCACAGAAGCTTTGATGAGCTATTCCTACCGGCAAGGTGTATGAAGAATCTAAAGGTACCTTGTGGGTATAAGGCTCTCCTCCAAGCCCATGAGAAAAGGAGACTAGAATTTAATGACTACTGCTGTTGACTATGGAAGAAAGAAACAGGAAATTAACAGTCACCTCCACCCTTCCACTATTTACTTACAGCCAGAACCTGTTCCCCTAATTTCACGACTAACAACTATTAGGCACTTATCACATGCCAAGCACAAGTCTAACGGCTTTTCACATATAAATACATTCAATGATCACAACAAACCCCATGAGGTACATACATCTCTTTTAGAGACGCAGGTTTTGACAGGTAAAGTGACTTAGCCACCATCCTAGAAATGCTAAAGACAGGAGGAGCAGGAATTCAAACTAAGAGAGTCTGACTTCAGCACCCAGTGCCAGTAGATGAGAAACCTCCTCCCAGGGGTGGGTTGCTGATGAGAGAATCCTTTCCTTGTCCCCAACTGCAGTGGCTTTCTTATGGGGAAAGAATCCAGGAAAAGTTGTCTGGAACTCCTGACATCTTTTGAGCCCTCAAGAAGCTGGTCCTCCTCCCTACTATCCCAGTTTACAGGGGTCCATTCCTTAGGAGGGCCATACTGTACGCCTACTCATGAGAGGAAGAAACATCTGGACCTACCAAGAAGTGGGCCCCAGACACTCTCTGTCTGAAGTATTACACCAAGGTGAATGGACTCCATGCCCATGATCACAGAAGGCCTTGGCCTTGGTTAAGTAAACCACCTGCCAACATCATGAGAAACATTCCTTGTGGGCACTCACTTGAGTGTGTTCCGTGAAGAAATCAGAGTCCTTCTTCTCTGGGGAGTGACTGGGAGCACTACTCATATTGTCTATCCAAAGCTAGAGGGAAGAAGACACCCTTGAAACACAGGGCTCTGAATATTCCCACTCACCCCACGACCCTAGCCCCAGGGAACAGGCACTTACATCAGTGCCATGCCTAGCCAGGGCTGCACTCCCCAGCTGCCGGATCTTTTCCCGATACATCTGGGCAGCTCGGCTATTATATTTGGTGTTGGCATCACTGGCTGTACATCCATGTTGGCGGAAGAAAGCTGTCTGGGGAGCAAAGAAGAGAGGAGAGTATGCTACAGGTGATTCCCCCAAAGCAAAAGAGGCACCTCCTTGTAACAGTCCAATTATTATTTACACATGATAATACACCCTACTGACACTGGCAGCTTTTCAGAGGTAAAGTTCCTCAGAAATTCCTGCAGAAAAACAACCTCCCATCCTCAGAGATGACTGACTGAACCTCAGCCCTTACTCAACCCTGCCTGAGGATAGCATGCCATACCCACTGTGCCCGTCCTTCATCTAGGCTCACAAGATCTGGATGACTGTGGAGGCCCCAACTCCCCTAGCCCTTCCCCCAAGAACATCTGTCCAGTTTTGTTGAATCCAAAGCCTATTTGAGAAGAACAATAACCAATTTCCAAGTTTAGAGAATAGTGTGCAGTGTTGGTATAGACCAGAAAATCCTCTGAAAGGAGATAGTGACAGGGCCCTCCTAGGAAGACACTGTAAAGTTAGTACCCAAGCAGAAGAATGGGAGCGGGGAAGATGGTAAGAAGGAGCTTTACCGCGTTGGCATTCCCGCCGACCTGCATACACCTCAGCTGGAACCAGTTCCAGTTGGAATCCAACTCTGTGGACCTGTGTGCAAGGGCTGCGTGTCACCCACCAGCAGGTATCAGGAGACGCTTCCCTGGCAGACCCATACCTGTCATTTGGCCTGGGGCTTCAGTAGGCGCTCAGGAAACATTAATCAGCCACCACCCTACTTCCTCCACTCTAACTTGTCTATGAAAAAGTTTGCTCTTCAATTGTCTAGTCAAAAAGGTGCTAATTATTTTCCATATCCAAAACGGGGTCGAATTCTCAGGCACTCAAGCTTGAATTTGGCTTTCCCCTTAGGGACAGTCATAGTCTCACTTCAGACATACTCGACCAACATTCAGCAACAAGGTCAGTGCAGCTAACTTCTCCCCCGAAACGAATACTCTGAGTGTCAAGTTTAACCAACGGAAAAGAAGGATATTTTAACCCAGACACGGAGACAAACTGCCTATGTGACAAGGGGCCCACACAGGCGGCTCCCTCCGGTGCTGATCCACCGGACCCCTCCCTGGCCGGGCAGTCGAGGCAGCTACTCTCCCTTACTGAGCACACAGCCCCGGCCGGCCGAGTAGAAACACAGCAGCCGCAAGATGACCCCACCTGATGAAGCTGAGATGAACGCCCAGGGAGCGGTGCACCCCGGAGCAGTCAATGCACAAGAAAACACCATATGTGATGCTGGCCCAACTCGGATTCTTGGCGCCACAGTCGAAGCAGGCCTGGGTGGAGGAGGCGATGAGCCAATGGTCAGGGGCCCCGAGTCGAGGCCGAGCGCTGACACGCCAGGGAAACAGCCCACGCCCGCCCCTCTCCCTCCCTCAGGCCCCAGGGGAGACGGGAGAGTCCCATCTCCGCCGGCGCCGGACCCCGCGCGCCTCCCGCTCGCGCACCTTGTTGGTCGGGATCCCGCGAAGCCGCTTAAAAAGAGTCTGGATTTCGGTCTTGCTCGGTTCCGCCGCCATTTTCTCTCCTTCCCAGACCCCAGCGCGACCGACGGGTCCTGTCGCGGGCCAATCCGCGGCCGGGAAGGCGGGGCACCGGGTCGGCTCCTGCAGTGCCCCCACCCGCCGGGGGCGGAGCGATTTGTCCCGCTCTGGACCAATGAGCGGCCGGCGGAACCGGAGCGGAGACCGCAGCAGCCCCGGGCTCTACAATGGTCGCCGGACCCACGCCGCGCTACGCCAGGGGCCAATCCGCAGCCAGGGCGGAGCGACGGCTCGCGGGCGGGCCCAAACCTTGCCGGAGCGCCACCGGGACGCCCCGCCACCCCCGGAAGGTGGTGCGACCTTCCAGAAGGGGAGGGCTGCGAGGCTGGGAGCCGGTGGCCAGGGGTCTCAGATGGGGCCAGTTCCCGATGGATGAGTGATGATTAACAGCCCTACCAAGCACTTATGGTCCCACCGGCCTGAACGGGAAGACAAACTGGGCCCCCGTCCAGCCCAGAACTCAGTAGTCAGCCTCCAGCCTTGGCGGGCTCACACCAAACCCAATCTCGAGTACCTCCCACCCCAGATTAGGGTCCCGAAGTTCCAGAGCAGATACCAAACTGGCAAACCTTTTTCCATGACATACTCTTAGACCCACACACCTCCCCACTCAGCGTCTCTCTCCAGATGCCCTCTGCATTCTGGCAAGGGTGGAGTATCAGAAAAGATGCACACACACCTGACAGTGCTTTTTTTTTTTCTTTTCTCCAACTTTAATACACACTAAAACAAGTCACAGGAGAGTGCTCCTAGCCCAGAACTACACTCACCACCCCAAGACCACCCCAGGAATCCCAAAACACTGAGACCAGGAACTGGGTCCACGGCTCCTGGGGAGACCCATGCATTCCTGGAGAGGCCCAGGCACCCCTGAGCCCTTCTGTCACCTCCTGGCCTCCCTATCTTCCCCTCAGGCTAGACTCAGTTGGCCCTTCCCTACCAGTCCCTTCCTAGATGCAGGCCGCCCCCCTCCCTGGGACCCAGGACTTCCTTCCTCCTCAAGGGACAGAAGGGCAGCAGGGGGCACCATGGTCCAGGGTCCTCGGGTCGGCTGTCCAAGAGAAGCTGGGCTCTGACGCAGGGTGGAGAAACGCTGCAGAAGGTCTGTCAAGGCAGATCAGGCCCCCACACACTCCACGTAATTGGCAGGGTACAGACCGATGCGGCCACTCTGCAACTGGCCCTGGCACCAGCCCTGCTCATCCTCCTCGCTCATCTTCAGCAGCTCCTCCCCTGGGGGAAGGGGGATTAGTCACGGCCAATTGCCCTGGCCCAGCTCGCTTCCGCAACTGGGTCAAGGACTGAGGGAGAGGGGACAATAGGAGAACCCAGCTAGAAGAGGAGACCTGTCTCAGGCAAAGGGAGGTCAAAGTCAGCAAGCCACTCCACCTCAGACCCTGAATGCATCAAGCAGGCCCAAGCTGGTGACTCTGAGAGGCAGGTGAGGGCTCAGAGCAGACACTCTGACTCCTGGGGGCTGGACCCAGAGTAGCCTTAAGAATCAGAGAACTGGGGCGCCTCGGTGGCTCAGTTGGTTAACTGTCCAACTCTTGGTTTCAGCTCAGGTCATGATCTCATGGTTCGGGAGTTTGAGCCTCATGTCGGGCTCTGCACTAGCAGCGTGGAGCCTACTTGGGATTCTCTCTCCCGCTCTCTCTCTCTGCCCCTCCCCTTCCCCCCAAAATTAATCAATAATAAACATTAAAAAAGAGAGAGAGAATCAGAGAACTGGTCCTTGGGAGGTAAACATTAGGCTTTCCTTTCCCACACCCCTGCTCAAGTTACAAAGGAAGGAAGGGGGAAGCTGAAGCCTGGAAAGGAACAGGAAAGGGGTTCCTGGGTACCTGCTCGGAAGCTCAGCTCATCAGCTTCCTGGCCAGCGTAGTCATAGAGTGCCCGCACCCGCACCCCTGTGGCAGCCTTCCGAGTGTTCTCCTCATCTGACCACTCCTCATCCTGCCCACCGCTAGAGACAGGAGACAGAAGTGGACAGGCTCAGGGCCCGAGGACCACCTTGAGCAAGAGAGCCTAGGACTCAGGGCCAAGGGCTCACCCTCTGGAAGAATCCTGGGAGAGGCAGGTGGGGAGAAACTGAAAAATCCCAGTCTGAGCTCTGCCACACATGCCTGTGAGCTTGGTGCATTTCCTGCCACACAGGGCTGACGTGAGCAGTAGACAAGAGGGACCATGGGAAACGCCTGGCAAATCTAAACCACCATGAACACCGGCATCCTTGTAACTACTGAGTAGGTCCTGAGGTTCCTGGCACCAATTTTCAACCCCACTTTGGGTGTGAGAGGAATGAAGGGAAGGAGACAGAGGGAAAGAAGGCAGGGCAGGGGGCAGAGATCTTTCCTTCCCACAGCCAGGTTTCTGGCTCTTACCCTGCAGACCCCAGGGACTGGGGTGGGGGTGCAGCGCCATCTCTCGTGGGCACGATACTGGTCAGAGTAACCTCATCAGGGCTCCGGCCACCCTTCTCCTTCCTGCTAATCGTCCTCTGTGTATCCAAGGACCACTCCTATGGGGACAGTGCTTAGGCTCAGACTGGGCCGTGGGGCTGTGGAGGCAGCCGGAGCCATTCAGACCTTCACCTACTTCATCCCAAGCCCTAGCCTCCCTCCTCAGGTCCAGGCTGAGCCCCCCACACCTCCCATACCTCAAACTGTGGCCAGTTCATGGCCATGCCTGGCCCGTGGGTGCTGCGCCACCAGCGCAGATCCTCTTCGTCACTGGCTGCCTCGATGCCCTGATGCAGGTCTCGGTGGAGTTCCTGGAACCTGTGACCCGAAGCACAGCCTCACACCGGGGAGCCCCGAGCCCCAGCACCGCCCCCCAAATTCATTGCACCTGGCCAGAGCCTGGGGGAGATGGAGGAGACCCAGCGTTGCCCAGACCTCCAGGCCCACCTCGCAGGCCATACCTCTCACTGCTGGAGAGGTCGAGGTGCTGGTGTAAGGTAAGCAGCATATCCTTGAAGAACAGAAGCCGCTGGCGCTCCGCGGCCTGGCAGGTTTCGAAGGCCTGCTCCATGTCTTCCATGTAGCGCGGGGTGTAGCGATGCAGCTCCGCCAGCGTCTGCTCATACTGGGTTTTCATCTGGGTGGGACAGGAGGGGCCCGGTGAGGACAAGACCTTCTTCCACTCAAGACTCCGCTCATGTTTACTGAGCGCCGCCATGGGCGAGAGACCCCGGGCTAGGCACCGGCAGCAATCATTCTACAGACCCAGCTCCTGCCCTCCAAGACCCCAGCAGCCTAACAAGGGAGGTCACACTTGGGCAGAGCAGCTTTGAGAGTCCGGTGAGCGAGGATGGAGAGTGAGGTGAAGGTCAACCTATAGGGAGCGGTGGGCGGAACGGGTAGAGGCTTCATGGAGGAGGTAGAAACGGAGCAGCAGATACGCAGAGCTGGAGGAACGGGTGCTCTGGAAGAGCAGGCCACATGAGAGCCTGTCCCAGGCAGGATGCGGTGGAAGGAGCTAGAAGGTCTCCTCAACTGCTAAGCTCCTCCCAACATCCAAAACTGCACCGCTTCTTTCCCTGGGTAAAGCATCATCTTTTCTCTGGGTCCTCTTTTAAATGATGACCTGGAGAAGGGGTGGCAGGTGAGGAAGAGGGCTGGGAAAGGCATGTCGGCCGCCCGGTACCTTCTCAGCCTCCTTGGTGCAGCGTTCCACCCGCTCCTGCAGCTTGCGCAGCTGCTCCTGGGAGACGGCGCTGTCTGCCTTTGCGTGGCTCTCCCGAGTCTGGGCTGTCTTCTCCTCCTTCCGGGCCGCATGGTAGCTCTTCTTAGACGCCTCAACCTGGCACGCACGGGGACAAGTCTGGACCCTGCGCGCCAAGCCTCGGCCCGGGTGGCCCAGGGCGGATTCAGGAAGGGACCCACCCCTCCCAGGCTCACCTCCTTCAGCCTCTTTAGCCAGGGCTTCTGGGCCTTGCGGAAGCCATCCTCGGCGGCCCGGCTCTCGCGGAAGCCACCCAGCACTGGCCGGTGGAAGGCCCCCCGCTGCCAGGAGCGCACCCGCTCGCTGTCCTGCCCCTGAAGCTTCTCCCGCACCTCCAGGTGCAGCGCACTCAGCCTCTCAGCTGCCGTGAAGAAGGCGTGCCAGGCCTTCTCCAGCGTGCCGTACTGGGGGCCTGCAGGGAGGAAGGGGCTTGGGCCAGGCCAGGGACGCCACCAGAAACCAGCCCACCCCCTCTCACTGGGTGCTGCGCCGGGCGCCAGGCACAGAGGGAATGCAGAGATGAACAACAAAGATGTCAGCTGCTGCTTTATCGGTATCTACTCTGTGCCTCGATACGAGATCTCACTGAATCTTTATCCACCACCACGCAGAGAATGTCGTGATCAACATTTAACAGACAACAAACAGCAGCCCAGAAAAGTGAAGTTAACTGCCCAAAGCATTACAGCTACAAGTCGAACTGAGATTCAAACCCTATATGAACCACTATACTTTATTGTCCCAAAGGGAAGAACTAGCCTCCACCCTCAAGGAATGCAGCTGGTTAGGATGGAAAGATCCAAGCTCTTGAGTCAGAAGGCCTAGGTTCAAGCTTTAGCTCTTCCTAGCTGTGTGACCTCAGGCAAGTCACTTAGCGTCTCTGAACTTCTGGATTCTCCTCTAGAAAATGGATAGAACAGGACTGTCTCCATCACAGGGCTGTTACAAATATCAAAATAAGTGATGACCATACTTTGCAAACTCTTAATGGCACAACCGTAAGAATAACCAGGAGGCTCTTCGCTCTTCAAAGGGAAGGCAGACATGGAAGCCTCAAGCTTTCCATAAGAGGTGCAAAAACGAATCTGCCTTGTCTGATCTCCCTACCCTCAGTGGCCCTCTGCTCCTGGCTAGGCCCAAGCGCGGCCTCACCCTTTTCCACGGTGCCCCTCCACTTGCGGGCCCAATCAGCCAGCTGCTGGGCATAGGCCTTCTCGATGCGGGCGCGCTCCTGGAAACAGCTGATCAGATCCCCACATAGCCGATGCCCGTCCTCCACCCGCTGCACGGTCCTCCTGTAGTTGCCAGCCTGGGGCAGACGGGAGAAAGGCAGTGTCGCCAGGGAGAAGCCCCCTCCAGGGCTGGGGCTGACAGCTAGCCTCCTCCCTGGAGAGGTGGCTGGGCCCAGAGTGGAGTGGGTACCCCCAAACCTAGGACCCAGCTGCTCACCTCCCAGAAACTGCCCTCTAGGGCCTCCCCTCCAGCGTCTTCCTCTGGGGCCATGGTGTCCCTGCAGCACGGAATGGTGGCGGACTGGGGCTGTGGAGAGCAGAGAGGTAAGCAGGGAAGCCGGATATACACTTTTGGGGAGAGAAGAAGATCCTCTCCTATCCCTGGGCTTTGTCCCCACTACCATCCCCACCATCTAAGGAACTGTCAGAGCTAGGACTTAGCAGGTAGACGTCTGGAAGGCCCCGGGAGGGGCTGGGATAGGAGAAAGGGTGGCCACTTCAAATCTCTTCCTCATGCCATGAGTCTGCCCACCCCCTCCCCCACCCAGCCTCATTCCACCTACCGGGGGGCCTACAGATCACTTCAGGGACCTGGGCGTCCAACTCTTAAAGCTTCAACCGTGATTCTGCCTTGAAGCTGACAAAAGCAAAAAAGCAAAGCAGGGGGTGAGGGCAGGGACTTAGAGAGTCCAGGGCGGTGCCCAGCTCCCCCGATATAGCAACTGCTGTCAGAAGCGCCAGAGTCCAGCCAGGAGAATGCCAGGCGGGTCACACGATCCAGCAGGGGATTAGGCGGCAGGCGGGGTGGGTGGTGGGCAGAGGGCCCTGCTGCCCCCGCCCCCCACCCAACTACAGATGAGAAAAGAGGATACCTGCCCAAGCCAGGCGCCATCGCCTTTGCTTGAACAACAAGGCGACCCTTTACCAGACGAGGCCAAGTCAGAGGGTTCCCGGCCACACTCCAGTAGCTTCCTTTGCCAGCAAGAGCAGACTGGGGGCCAAGAGGACCGAATCCTACCTTGGCCAAGAAGCTTGAACAAGTGCATTTTACTGTCCTCCTAAGGAAGCCTTGGCTCCCTCCTAAGATGGAAATTTTGCCTCCTGGTCTTCTGTGCCAGGGCTGGTTTAAGACTCAAACCAGGAAGGGGCGCCTGGGTGGCTCAGTCGGTTGAGCATCCGACTTCAGCTCAGGTCATGATCTCGTGGTTCATGGGTTCAAGCCTTGCGTCGGGCTCTATGCTGACAGCTAAGAGCCTGGAGCCTGCTTTAGATTCTGTGTCTCCCTCTCTCTCTGTCCCTCCCCTGTTCGCTCTTTG